CAGATATCTACCTCTACTTCGAAAATTCTTACTATAGGCCACAGCAACGCGTGGCAGGGTACAGCTAGTATTGAACAAATCCATGAATAATCAATCTACAACTGTTAAATCCACTGTTGAAGGCCAACTGTGGTTTCATTACAGAAGTGGAAGGTTGTTGGCAGTGGGAATAGGACCACCTTGTTGAGCTTCTTGGGAATAGGGCCATCTTGTTAAGTCTTGGGAATAGGGCCATCTTGTTGAGCTTCTTGGCGACATGTCCTGCCTTTGCTTCACAGTTGGAGGGTTCTCTGGAGCAAGAGAAGAAGATCCGAATGGACTTGGAGAGAGCTAAGAGGAAGCTGGAAGGAGACTTGAAGTTGACCCAAGAGAGCATTATGGATTTGGAGAATGACAAGCAGCAGCTGGATGAAAAGCTGAAAAAGTAAGGATGATTACTGTATGAATATCCCTTCACCGCCTTATTGTTTGTGTGCTGCTCTTTGCTATGCTATTACTGTACCCAAACTGAGTCTTGTCTTCTCCAGGAAAGATTTTGAGCTCAATGCCTTGACTGCTAGAATAGAAGATGAACAATCCATAGGCATCCAGCTGCAGAAGAAGCTCAAAGAGCTACAGGTAAAAGGTGGACAAAATGCTCTTGTTTCAAAAGGAAGCCCAAAATGTAGTATTTCTGGACAGAACCTAATCTATTGTCGAAGGCTTTCATGGCTGGAATCACCAGGTTGTTGTAGGTTTTTTGGGCTATATGGCCATGTTCTAGAGGCATTCTCTCCCGACCTCACAACCTCTGAGGATGCTTGCCATAGATGCAGGCGAAATGTCAGGAGAGAATGCCTTTAGAACATGGCCATATAGCTTGAAAAACCTACAACAACCCAGAACCTAATCTGGTTTTAATATGTATTGCTTTTCTTGGAATGAACAAAGCCTTTTTCCTACTGTATCTAAAATGTCAGCCATTAGGAGTAGGTAAAGGTAAAGGTTTTTCCCTGACATTAAGTCCAGCCGTGTCCAACTTCTGTGGGTCGGTGCTCATCTCCATTACTAAGCCAAAGAGCCGGCATGGAGCACCGTTACCTTCCCACTGGAGCGGTACTTATTGATCTACTCACATTTGCATGTTTTTGAACTGCGAGGTTGCAGAAGTTGGGGCTGACAGCAGAAGCTCACCCTGCTCCCCGGATTTGAATCTGTGACCCTTTGGTCAACAAGTTTAGCAACTCAGCGGTTTAACCCACTGCGCTTCATGCACTAAGACTCCAAGTCATTTTGATTGTATTTCCTCCTTGCTCTTTGACATTTTTATGGTGTCGGAAAATACCTCCCCGCTTTAAGCAGTCCCTAATTTCTCGACCCATAGCTCAGCTGTTTTCGATCTGCTTATGTGGACAGTAAGCTAGGCTTAATAGTCGGGTGCTCAATCCCACTCAGGCTTCAAATCTGTCACCTTCTGGTCAGCAGTGATCTATGGCAGCTGGTGATTGACCAGTTGTGCTACAGCCCGGCCCAGCTGTGCCACGGCCTGTGGCACCCTTCAAGGAATACTGAGGACAACTCTGCTATGTTTCGTCATTTGTTCACCTGTGAACTGTTTAGTCACTTCTGGTTTTGAAAAACACTTGGGGGAGGGGGGAATAAAATTTGACAAAATGGTCCCCTGAGCTCGCCATAAGGTATGAGAGATCTTTCTAAGTACAAAAATTGTTATTGTGTTGAGTTCCTTCAAGACATTTCTATCTAATGGTGCACCTAACAGCGATGCTATCATGGGACTTTCTTGGCAATGTTTGTTCAGAAGTGGTTTACCAATATCTTCCTCTCAGACTGAGAGAACATGACTTGCCCAAGGCCATCCAAGTTGGATAGAGATTTGAAACCTGCTGTCCCGCATCATAGTCCAGTATTAAAAATTACTATATCACACTGGTTCTTCCCAGCAGTTGGAGGAGTTATTAGAAAATTCAGAGGGTTTTCTGAAGGTAACACATGGCCTACTCCATAATGGGTTTCCTTGTTTCTGGTGTAGGCACGAATAGAAGAGCTGGAAGAAGAACTGGAAGCTGAACGCACCGCCCGGGCCAAGGTAGAGAAGCAGCGCTCCGATCTTTCACGAGAGCTGGAGGAGATCAGTGAACGTCTGGAGGAAGCTGGTGGAGCCACCTCTGTCCAGATCGAGCTGAACAAGAAACGAGAGACTGAATTCCAGAAGATGCGTCGGGACCTGGAGGAGGCCACCTTGCAACACGAGGCCACGGCCGCAGCTCTGCGCAAGAAGCATGCCGACTCAGTGGCAGAGCTGGGCGAGCAAATTGATAATCTTCAACGTGTGAAGCAGAAGCTGGAGAAGGAGAAGAGTGAGCTGAAGCTAGAACTGGATGATGTCACCTCCAACATGGAGCAGCTGATGAAAGCCAAGGTTCTGTGTCAAGGAAGGGGAGGCGGGGCTACATACATTGGGGGCAAAGCTAGGACGGTGATGAAGTCCTAATTTGAGGGTGGAACTGAAGTTGGTGTTGGAGCAAAATTTGGAGAAGAGAGCAGGAGTTACTTTGAAATGGGGGACAGAAATGGGGAGAGGTTCAAGATGAGAGGGGACAGATTTTGTTCCAAAATTAAAGTACAGTCACTCCTCCACATTCACTGGGGTTAGGGGCACATGACCTCCATTAAAGTGGAAAAACTATGAATTAAAAACAACTATTTTCTTAACTGAAGATAAACACCTTTCTAGAAATCTCTAGGTACTCTAGCACAAATTTCCTTGGAATTTCTAGGTCCTAGTAAAGGTAAAGATTTCCTCGGACATTAAGTCTAGTTGTGTCCAACTCTGGGGGGTGGGTCTCATCTCCATTTCTAAGCCAAAGAGCTGGTATCGTCCATAGACACCTCCAAGGTCATGTAGCCAACATGGCTTCATGGAGTGTCATTACCTTCCCACTAAGGCGGTACCTATTGATCTACACACATTTACATGTTTTCAAACTGCTAGGTTGGCAGAAGCTGGGGCTAACAGTGGGAGCTCACCCCACTCCCTGGATTTGAACGACCAACCTTTCAGTCAGCAAGTTCAGCAGCTCAGCGGTTTAACCCACTGCGTCACCAGGGGACCTAGGTTCTACCGCACAACATTATGGCCACTTTCTTGTACTGGAAGCCTAGAGATTCCTAGAAAGATCCACAAAACCTAAAACCACAAATATGGGGGGTTGACTGTGTTGTTGCAACATATTAGGTTACACTTTGCTTCATTGTCTTCACATATTTTCCAAGTTATCATTCTATCTAACTATATAAATAAAAATGTAATGTTTGTTTGTGGGATTAACATAACTCAAAAACAACTAGATGAATTGACACCAAATTTGGACACTACACCCCTAACAAGCCAACAAGTGACCATCACTCATAAAAACATTGAAAAACACAGCAGAAGAGACTTAACAAAAAAAAGCTAAATGACAATACAGCTATGCGCAAAAATGACTCTCCCCCCCCCCCCCCTGCGCAAGAAAAATAAAACAAACAGCCACCCCAGCTCTCCTTTGGTCATTCCTGTGCTACAGTCACATCAGAAAGGTTGCGGCCCTCGACAACAGAGGCAGTTGGGAGGAGTGATGAGGAGACCTGAGGGCAACCTGAGAGCACTAACTGTGGAGTCCTTGCTCTGCAGAGAGCAGGGATGCACCTCTCTCAAGTGCTGCCTTTGAGCCCAACTCTTTTCTGGCTTATGTGTAGAGGGAAGGAATGAAGGAGGGAAAGGGGGAAGGAAGCAGAGAAGGAAGGAGGGAGGAAAAGGAAAGAAAGAAGGAGAGAGAAAAGAAGGAAAAAAGAGGAGGGAAGAAGGAAGGGAAAGAAGTAGAGAAGGAATGAAGAAGAAAGAGGAAGAGGAGGAAAGAGAAGGAAGGGAAAAGAAAGGAAGGAAGGAAAGAAGAGGTAGAGAAGGAAGAAAGGAGAGAAAGGGGGGGAGAGAAAAAGGGGGAAGAAGAAGAGAGGGAGGGAGGGAGGGGAGGGAGGGAGGGAGGAGGGAAGGAAGGAAAGAAGGAAGGAAGGAAGGAAGGAAGGAAGGAAGGAAGGAAGGAAAGAGAGAAGGAAGAATGGGACCAAAGAGCAAAGGAAGGAAGGAAAGACAGAGGTAGAGAAGGAAGAAAGGAGAGAAAGAGGGGGGAAAGAAAAAGGGGGAAGGAAGAAGAGAGGGAGGGAAGGGAGGAAAGAGAGAAGGAAGAATGGGACCAAAGAGCAAAGGAAAGAAGGAAAGACAGAGGTAGAGAAGGAAGAAAGGAGAGAAAGAGGAAGGGAAAGAAATGGGGGAAGGAAGGAAAGAGAGAGAGAGAGAGAGAGAGAGAGAGGATGAGAGAAAGGAGAGAAATAGGGAGGGAAGGTTGGCCACAGCAATGCATGGCGGGTACAGCTCATCCTCAATAATTCTGTCTCCTTCATTTACTTCCTCATTTTTATCATTCAGCTTCTTTCTCTTTGTCTTCTTCTGAGGCCAAACCTTTCATTCATAATTTCTTCTTTCAAATAAAACTAATTCCTCTTCATTTTCCTCCCACCATTTTTTTTCCTGCAGGCCAACCTGGAAAAAATGTGCCGAACCTTGGAAGACCAAATGAATGAGCACCGAACTAAGTCTGAAGAAACCCAGCGGATGGCCCACGACCTCACCACGCAGAGAGCCAAACTCCAGACGGAGAATGGTGAGGGAGAGGGGACATTTGAAACAACAGAAGAAAGGCATATTCAGTTCTACTTGGAGGCCTTTTTGACTTGGCTGCCAAGTTAGATCAAAACTCTTCCTTCCCATTCTCTTACCTTGACATGACTGCCTCTTCCTCTTCCTCTTCCTAGGTGAGCTGTCTCGCCAGTTGGATGAGAAGGAAGCTTTGATAACCCAACTCACAAGAGGGAAATTGACTTACACCCAACAGTTGGAAGATCTGAAGAGGCAACTGGAGGAAGAAGCTAAGGTAAGAGAGAAACCGAGTTCAGAGAGAAGATTAGGTAAACGCCTGGGTAGGGACTGATGCCCTCTGAGCATGTTATGCCTGTCCCTTTCCCCTCAGGCCAAGAATGCTCTGGCGCATGCGCTCCAGTCGGCCCGCCATGACTGTGACTTGCTGAGGGAACAGTATGAGGAGGAGACCGAGGCCAAAGCCGAGCTTCAGCGCTTGCTCTCCAAGGCCAACTCCGAGGTGGCTCAGTGGAGAACCAAGTATGAGACTGATGCCATCCAGAGGACAGAGGAATTGGAGGAGGCCAAGTAAGTGTCCCCAAGCTGTCTACATCATAAGGTAAAGGTAAAGGTAGTCCCCTGACATTAAGTCCAGTCATGTCTGACTCGGGGGTGTGGTGCTCATCTCCATTTCTAAGCCGAAGAGCCAGCGTTGTCCGTAGACACCTCCAAGGTCATGTGGCCGGCATGACTGCATGGAGCGTCTACATCATACTTCACACTAAAACCAAACACCTTTCTTTCTCTATCCATTTCTCCATGTTGACTGAGAGAAGAGAGGAAAAATCAGCATACTGAGTAGACATAGAGTAGTGGTTCTCAACCTTCCTAATGCCATGACCCCTTAGTACAGTTCCTCATGTTGTGGTGACCCGCAACCATAACATTACTTTTGTTGCTACTTCATAACTGTAATTTTGCTACTGTTACGAATCGTAATGTAAATATCTGATATGCAGGATGGATTTTCATTCACTGGACCAAATTTGGCCCAAATACCCGATACGCCCAAATTTGAATACTGGTGGGGTTGGGGGGATTGTTTTTGTCATTTGGGAGTTGTAGTTGCTGGGATATATAGTTCACCTGCAATCAAAGAGTATTCTGAAGTTCACCAACAATGGAATTGAACCAAACTTGGCACACAGAACTCCCATGACCAACAGGAAATACTGGAAGGGTCTGGTGGACATTGACCTTGAATTTTTGGAGTTGTAGTTCACCTACATCCAGAGAGCACTATAGATTCAAACAATGATGGATCTATACTAAACTTGGCACAAATACTTAATATCCCCAAATGTGAACACTGGTGGAGTTTGAGGAAAATAGACCTCAGCATTTGTGAATTGTATTTGCTGGGATTTATAGTTCACCCACAATGAAATAGCATTCTGAACCTCACCAACGATGGAATTGGACCAAACTTCCCACACAGAAGCCCCATGACCAACATAAAATACTATGTTTTCTGATGGTCTTTGGAGACCCCTCTGACACCCCCTCACAACCCCCACAGGGGTCCCGACCCCCAGGTTGAGAAACACTGACATAGAGCAATGGTTCCCCACCTTGGGTTCTCTAAGTTTTTGAACTTCAGCTCCCAAAATTTTTGACACTTGACCAAGCTGGCTGGAGCTTCTGGGAGTTGAAATCCCAAAAAACCAATACCAAAGGCTGATTTGGAGAAAAGAAGCAGCAGCATGTTGTTGGAACCACCCGGCAAGGTTTTTTTCATGTCAGAAGCGACTTGAGAAACTGCAAGTCACTTCTGGTGTGAGAGAATTGGCCATCTGCAAGGACGTTGCCTAGAGGACACCCAGATGTTTTATCATCCTTGTGGGAGGCTTCTCTCATATCACCGCATGAGGAGCTGAAGCTGACAGAGGGAGCTCAGCCAGCTCTCCCTGGATTCTAATTGCTGACTTGTTGGTCAGCAGTCCTGCCAGCACAAGGTTTAACCCACTGCGCCACTAGGAGCTCCACCAAGGGTTGAAAATGCATTATGTGGCTATAATTTAGATCTGTCAAAAGACCAGATCATTGGAAAACAATGGGGGAAAGATGAGGGAAGCCTGTACAGTGTTCCCTCGCTACTTCGCGGTTCACTTTTCGCGGACTCGCTGTTTCGTGGGTTTTTGTCTCCCAGTTTATGAATGGTTGCAATATACAAATGCAATATATAAAATGCAATATACATATATCGCGTCCCTACTTTGCGGATTTTTACTTTTCGTGGGTGGCCCTGGAAACCCATGAGACAGCAAGTCCGCAGAAAGCGAACCGCAATAAGTGAGGGAACACTGTATCTTTCTTTCCTCCATCCATTTCTACCTCGTTGACTCCTCTCATCTAATGGTAGGGCTACCTCCACCCACCCCATGTTGAAAATTGCACTTTCCTTGGCTCTTGTTTGCCTGTCTGACTCTCACCGCGTTTTGTGTGTTAGAAAGAAGTTGGCACAGCGGCTACAAGATGCCGAGGAGGCAGTGGAGGCCGTGAATGCCAAGTGCTCCTCATTGGAGAAGACCAAACACCGCCTGCAGAATGAGATCGAAGACCTCATGGTGGACGTGGAGCGCTCAAATGCAGCTGCGGCCGCTCTAGACAAGAAGCAAAGGAATTTTGACAAAGTATGTGCAGAGGGGAGACAGTGGGAATGATGGGCATCCTACCTAGTTGAAATATTACGGCACATACACGTTTTCTGACACATGGGCAGAGCAGGCTTGCTCAAGTCAACACAGACTGGAGAAACATAGGTAGAACAGCCTAGTAGGAGAGAAGAAAGTAGACACACATGTTCAATGGCAGGTGTTAACTTAAACCCCCCTTTTCAGCTGAAGGACCACATGGCAAATACGTGAAGAACTCATTAAGATCCTAATGAGATTTGGTCTACTCCATAGGGCTACAGGAACCTGTCTTATAATGAGTGAGGCTGTTGGTTCCTCTAAATCCTGTTATTATCCACTCTAACTGACACCAGCTTTTCAGGGTTTTAGGTAGGATTTATCCCTATCCCTAGATGGAGATTCTTGGCATTCCCTGGTGGTCTTTCATCTAAGAATTAATCAGCTGCAAATCTGCTAAGTTTCCAAAATCAGATTAAATCATGAAGGTATGGTGGTTCTTTACCTAATAGAACTAGCATATCTTATGCAAGTCGTATTAGGTATAGTAACATCACACTGTCCCCATTCCAACTCCACTATGGGAATAGGTGATTGGTCCCATCTCCTGGTCTTCTCTCCTAGAAAGAAGTTGGAATCCTAGAAAGGATTCCAACTTCTTCAGGTTTACTTTGAAAATATTACCCATATTATATTCTGGATTCATCGCTGAGCCTGGAACCCCAGGTTTTGGCGGTAGCCAGGGGAGCTTTTGCACAAGGGAAGAGGAAGAGAAGGAAGGAAGGAGTGAATGAAAGAAAACAAGGAAGGAAGGAGAGAAAGAAAGGAGGAGACAAAGAGAGAGAAAAGGTTGGCCACTGCAACACGTGGCGGGGACCTGCCTACCTGCGTGATCGCATCTCCGTTTACGAACCTGCACGCTCCTTTCGATCATCTGGAGAGGCCCTGCTCACGATCCCACCTGCGTCGCAGGCGCGTTTGGTGGGGACGAGGGACAGGGCCTTCTCTGTGGTGGCCCCCCAACTCTGGAACTCTCTCCCCAAGGACATCAGACAAGCCCCAACATTGGCTGTCTTTGCCTGAAGACCTGGCTGTTCCAGTGTGCCTTTCCAGAATAGGAAACTCCTGGCTTTAGTCCCAAATGCACTTTGCTAGAGATTCAGGATTATCTGCACATTGCACCTACCTCCATATACCTCTACATATTACCTGTCAAGTTCAGCATTTTTAAATTTTGTCCATTACATTGGCCCGGCCTTTAGGTTTTAATTACGTCACGGTGTTATTGTCCTATTGTTTTGCTTGATGTTTATTATTTGCTTATGAGTTTATTGTGTATTGTATGTTGTTGATTGTCGGTGGCCTTGGCCTTTGTGAGCCGCATCGAGTCCTCCGGGAGATTTTGCAGGGTATAAATAAAGTTAATAATAAATAAATAAATAAATAAATAAATAAGTATTCTCATAACCAACTCTTATTCTCTCTGCATGTTCTTTGACGACCCCAGCTCCTATCCGAGTGGAAGCAGAAGTTTGAAGAGTCTCAAACTGAGCTGGAGTCATCTCAGAAAGAGGCCCGTTCACTCAGCACAGAGCTCTTTAAGCTGAAAAATGCTTATGAGGAGTCATTGGAACATCTGGAGACCTTCAAGAGAGAGAACAAGAACTTGCAAGGTAAGCCTTTCCTCGTCAACAACACAGCCTTCCTCAGCCCTTCTCCCTTAATGAGCTACCAGATCCTAAACAGACTTTCTTGCTACTGAGGAAGATCTATCTATCTATCTATCTATCTATCTATCTATCTATCTATCTATCTATCTATCTATCTATCTATTTGCTTACTACATTTATACACCACCCCTCTCAGCCCACAGGTGACTCAGACACAATAATTCAGTGCCCAACAACAGCATAAAACATTTTTAAAAATTGACATATAATAAAAAAACCATAACAAAATCAATAGAATATAAATCATATGCATCTCTTAATTTAAAATGTTGTCCAAACTCATCATCCAGTCGTTCCACATTCCTATGTCTGTTACACTGCATTGTCCAACGCTTACTCAAACAGCCAAGTCTTAACTTTTCTCTGGAATGTTAAAGGGCAGGGGGCACAATCTAATGCCCCTAGAAAGGGTGTTTCATAGCCGAGGGGCCACCACTGAGAAGGCCCTGTCTCTCGTCCCTGCCAAACGTATTTGTGACGCTGGCGGGAACAAAAGCAGGACCTCCCCAGACGATCTTAAAGTCCTAGCTGGTTCATAAGGAGAGATGCGTTCGGACAGGTAAGTTGGGCCAGAACCATTTAGAGCTTTATAAGCTAGCCAGCACTTTGAATTGTGCCCAGTAGCAAACCGGCAGCCAGTGGAGTTGGTGCAACTGAGGAGTTGTATGCTCCCTGAGCACCGCTCCTGTTAGTAACCTGGCTGCCGTCTGTTGACCCATTTGAAGCTTCTGGGCAATCTTCAAAGGCAACCCCACGTAGAGTGCGTTGTAGTAGTCTATACGGGATGTAACCACAGCATGGACTACTGTGGCCAAGTCAGACTTCCCAAGGTACGGGTGCAGTTGGCGCACAAGTTTTAGCTGTTCAAATGCTCCCCTGGTTACCGCCGAAACCCGGGGTTCCAGGCTCAGCGATGAGTCCAGGATCACACCCAAGCTGCAAACCCAGGCTGACTCTCTTTTCTTTCTTCCTTTTGTCAGAGGAGATTTCTGATCTGACGGAGCAGCTCGGAGCCAGCAACAAGAGCATCCATGAACTTGAGAAAGTGCGGAAGCAACTGGAAGCAGAGAAGATGGAGTTGCAGGCAGCTCTTGAGGAGGCAGAGGTAGGAAGGGTTATGAGCCATGTTCCCACAGAACAAAATCTCCTTCATGCTTCGTTTCTAGTATGCGCCCGATATTTACAGGTTTAACCTAAGCAGATTTGATTAACATGGTCTGCAGTCAAATCCATTTCCTCCACCATTTTGCTTCCTTCCAGGCCTCTCTGGAACATGAAGAAGGCAAGATCCTGCGGGCTCAGCTGGAGTTCAACCAAATCAAGGCTGACATTGAGCGCAAGTTAGCCGAGAAGGACGAGGAGATGGAGCAGGCCAAGAGAAACCACTTGAGGATGGTGGATTCACTTCAGGCGTCCCTTGATGCAGAAACTCGTAGTCGCAATGAGGCAATGCGGGTGAAGAAGAAGATGGAAGGTGACCTCAACGAGATGGAAATCCAGCTTAGCCATGCCAACCGCATAGCAGCTGAAGCTCAGAAGCAAGTCAAAACACTCCAGGGATATCTCAAGGTAAGTCCAGAAAGTTTGGTTTGGGTGTTTTATCTTTCCTTCTTATAGCACAAGGTTGAAAGCTCACCTTCCATTGACCTCATCCAAACCTTTTCTTTTATTTCCAGGACACTCAGATACAACTGGATGATGCTGTCCGAGCCAATGAAGACCTCAAAGAAAACATTGCCATAGTAGAACGGAGGAACAATTTGTTGCAAGCCGAGCTGGAGGAATTGCGTGCCGTGGTGGAGCAGACTGAACGGGCCCGCAAACTGGCTGAACAGGAACTGATAGAAGCCAGTGAGCGAGTCCAGCTTCTCCATACACAAGTAAGAGGATCCTCAGAAACAACTTACATTCTTAAGAGTTGTAGGTTTCGTGAAACCTGGAAACTGAACTTGTTGCCTTCAGAAATTCTTTGGTGCAAGTTTCTCTATAGTTTTGTAATTCTCTTGTAACAACTTCCTAGAACATTCTAAAAATACTTCAATGTTTATCTTGAGAATTTCCCGAGAAGCAAAATCCAGATAAAGCTCAACTCAATTCTCAATTCAAGGTGCAGGTTATCACCTATAAAGCCCTGAATGGTTCAGGACAATCCTATTTTCATGACCACATCTTCCGCTACAAACCTGCATGATCTCTAAGATCTCCTGAGGAGACTCTCCTCTCGCTCCCACCCCTGTCACAAGCACGGTTGTTGGGGATGAGAGAGAGGGCCTTCTCGGTGGTGGCCTCCTGGCTCTGGAACTCTCTCCCCAGGGAGATTATGCTGGCACCTACCCTGTCCACCTTCCATAAGGATCTAAAAACATGGATGTTCCACTGTGCTTTTGATTAGACAGTTCCGCAGTTAATTTTGGCCCCCAGCTATGAGAAACTGCAAGTAGCTTCTGGTGTGAGAGAAATGACTGCCTGCAAGGATATTGCCCAGAGGATGCCGCCCTGAGTTGCCTTAGGGCTGATATGGGCGAGGTAAAAATGATATAAATAAATAAATAAACAAACAAACAAACAAACAAATAAATGCCCGGATGTTTTACCATCCTGTTGGAGGCTTCTCTCATGTTCTTGCATGGGAAGCTGGAGCTGACAGATGGAAGCTCACCTTACTCCCCGGATTTGAACCACTGACCTTTCAGTCAGCAGTCCAGCTGGTACAAGGGTTTAACCCATTGTGCGGCCAGGGGTGCAATGATCCCGGTGTTTTTGAGGTGTGGATATCGGGATGAATTCAGCCCATTGAGTGTCCACATATCCAACAGACCCAACCTCTGTATTACTGGCCAAAAGTGGCTCCTTTTAATGACGTTGCTGTTGACATGGATGTGACCTTAAAATAAGTGATGCCACCAACCAAGGAGCTTCCTTTGTCCAATGAAACAGTGGCACCGACCCCAACAACCTCTCAATTTGTCCGTCTAGAGATTAATAGGACTTCAGGGATGCTCCCATGCTGCATTGAGGCAGGACGAGAACATAGTATGTAGGATTATTTTGGAAAGTATAGCTACATCCCACACATGCCTTCCTACGCAATGGGTTAAACCCTTGCGCCGGCAGTACTGAAAGACCAACATGTCGCAGGTTCGAATCCGGGGAGAGTGCGGATGAGCTCCCTCTATCAGCTCCAGCTCCCCATTGCGGGGATATGAGAGAAGCCTCCCACAAGGATGATAAAACATCAAAACATCCGGGCGTCCCCTGGGCAACATCCTTGCAGACGGCCAATTCTCTTATACCAGAAGCAACTTGCAGTTTCTCAAGTCGTTCCTGACACGAAAAAAACCCTAGAAATTATCTATATTATAAATCAACACAATAACACTAGTGTAGATGAAGATTATCAACCACATATTGGAGTTAGAGTATTATTTTTTAACTTACCTTACTCTAACATTATACAATAATAACATTATCAGGAGCTGACAAAGGAACATTTGGAATATGGAGAAGCCAAATATAAGGAACTCAGAAAAGAAGCCAAACTCGCAAAGGACTTCTTGTAAACAAAACATTTCATCTAATGGAGAAGATAGACTTCCAGTTACTAGAAGATTTTGAAAGGTCCCAGACCATGGAATTACATGATTTGTTAGGACAGTTAGACAACTTCAGATATGGTTTTTAAGTGAGTAGGACGACTGGTCAAGGAAGAGAAGGATTATATCAAGCTGAAAGGATGAGGAAGACAAAAGGAATGGCTCCCACTTTGCTGTTTTCTGAGGTCAATTGGTTCAGTGCTAGACCCTCAAACAATTTTCAGTTTGTTGAACCAGAATCTATATACATAAAAATATAATGTTCGTTTGTGGGATTAACATAATTCAAAACCCACTGGACAAATTGACACTACATTTGGACACAATACACATATCAGGCCAATGAGTGACCATCACGCAAAAAATTGATTTTGTCATTTGGGAGTTGTAGTTGCTGGGATTTATAGTTCACCTACAAACAAAGAGCATTCTGAACTCCACCAATGATGGAATTGAACCAAACATGGCACACGGGCACTGACCTTGAGTTTTGGAGTTGTAGTTTACCTACATCCAGAGAGCACTGTGGACTCAAACAACGATGGATCTGGACCAAACTTGGCAGGAATACTCCATATGCCCAAATATGAACACAGATGGAGTTTGGGGAAAATAGACCTTGACATTTGGGAGTTGTAGTTACTGGGATTTATACAATTAAAGAGCATTCTGAACCCCACCAACGATAGAATTGGAGCAAACTTCCCACACAGAACCCCCATAACCAACAGAAAATACTTAAGACCATCCAGTCCAACTCCCTTCACCTGGGCAAGAAATCCTAATCAAAGCCCTCCTGACAAAGAGCCTTCCAGCCATAGAGATAGGTAGATAGATATGATTCACACACACACAGAGATATAGTACCATAGATTTGAAAGGGACCCTTAAAGAAGGACAATGATATCTTGCATGTTCCAGGGTGGGCAAACCAGACACTCTCCACATAAACACTGACAAAGAAACAGCAAGAAATACTGTTTACCCACAAGCAGAAAGACATTACATATATTAGAAACCAACACATTCTCATTACTTTATTTTCCAGATCAAACTGGGCCACAGCAACGCCTGGCAGGGGACAGCTAGTTCAACAATAAAACAACAGCCCTTGATCTTGAGAAATCTAAATCTAAAATAAAAACCCATGCATATTTATTTTGCATTCCCCACTTTACAGAACACCAGCCTCATCAACCAGAAAAAGAAGATGGAGTCTGACCTGTCCCAGCTACAGACAGAGGTGGAGGAAGCAGTGCAAGAATGCAGGAATGCGGAGGAGAAGGCCAAGAAAGCCATCACGGACGTGAGTAAAATCAGAAATACAGTCTTTCCTAAGGAAGTAGCCATCCCAGCATTGAAAGGTTCAGTTCTGGCAGTATTCGGATAAAGAAAGACTAACAACACAAGGTATATACATTTGGTTTACTTCAGAATGGATGCCTTAACTGGGTATTATAATATAATTTCCATTTACCAAGAGGATTCCATTATCTTTTGGTGAATGGACAGGAAATACAATACAATCCTGCCCCTTTCTCCCCCATACCTGCAGGACTGGTACCTACCCATATCCAAAAATCTATGTCCTCTATAGGAATTAGCTACATTCTCCAGGTAATTTTATGGTTGCTTTTGTCAGAACTTACCATAGGGTTGTACTGGAAGCTCTAGCACAGTGGTTCTCAACCTGGGGTCCCCAGATGTTTTTGGCCTACAACTCCCAGAAATCCCAGCCAGTTTACCATCTGTTAGGATTTCCGGGAGTTGAAGGCCAAAAACATCTAGGAACCTCAGGTTGTGAACCACAGCAAATTCCTCTCAAGGAATTTTCAAGATTTTCCAGTGCTTCTATGATTCTATGATTCTGTATGGCAGCTTCCAGAAGAAATAATAGAATTGGGTTGGAAGAGACCTTGTGGGCCATCCAGTCCAACCCCCTGCTAAGAAACAGGAAAATTGCATTCAAAGTGCCCCTGACAAATGGCCATTCAGCCTCTGTTTAAAAGCTTCCAAAGAAGGAGCCTCCACCTCACTCTGGGGCAGAGAGTTCCACTGCTGAACAGCTCTCACAGTCATAGAATCATAGAATCATAGAATCAAAGAGTTGGAAGAGACCTCATGGGCCATCCAGTCCAACCCCCTGCCAAGAAGCAGGAATATTGCATTCAAATCACCCCTGACAGATGGCCATCCAGCCTCTGCTTAAAAGCTTCCAAAGAAGGAGCCTCCACCACACTCAGGGGCAGAGAGTTCCACTGCTGAACGGCTCTCACAGTCAGGAAGTTCTTCCTCATGTTCAGATGGAATCTCCTCTCTTGTAGTTTGAAGCCATTGTTCCGCGTCCTAGTCTCCAGGGAAGCAGAAAACAAGATTGCTCCCTCCTCCCTGTGGCTTCCTCTCACATATTTATACATGGCTATCATATCCCCTCTCAGCCTTCTCTTCTTCAGGCTAAACATGCCCAGCTCCTTAAGCCGCTCCTCATAGGGCTTGTTCTCCAGACCTTTTGATCATTTTAGTCGCTCTCCTCTGGACACATTCCAGCTTGTCAATATCTCTCTTGAATTGTGGTGCCCAGAATTGGACACAATATTCCAGGTGTGGTCTAACCAAAGCGGAATAGAGGGGTAGCATGACTTCCCTAGATCGAGACACTATGCTCCTATTGATGCAGGCCAAAATCCCATTGGCTTTTTTTGCCGCCACATCACATTGTTGGCTCATGTTTAACTTGTTGTTCACGAGGACTCCAAGATCTTTTTCACACGTACTGCTCTCGAGCCAGGCATCCCCCATTCTGTATCTTTGCATTTCGTTTTTTCTGCCAAAGTGGAGTATCTTGCATTTGTCACTGTTGAACTTCATTTTGTTAGTTTTGGCCCATCTCTCTAATCTGTCAAGATCATTTTGCATGCTGCTCCTGTCCTCTGGAGTATTGGCTATCCCTCCCAATTTGGTGTCGTCTGCAAACTTGATGATCATGCCTTCTAACCCTTCATCTAAGTTGTTAATAAAGTCGTGTGGAATCTCCTTTCTTTCCTGTAGTTTGAAGCCATTGTTCCATTGCATCCTAGTCTCCAGGGCAGCAGAAAACAAGTGTGCTCCTCACCTCTTGATCCATGGCCCTCATCATGTCTCCTCTCAGCCTTTTCTTCTGATGGTAAACATGCCCAGCTCATTAAGCCGCACCTCATAGGGTCTGTTCTCCAGATCTTGATCTTTTTAGTTGCCCTCCTCTGGACACATTCCAGCTTAGAGTCAACATTTCCCTTCAATTGCGGTGCCCAGAATGGGACACAGTGTGATTCCAGGTGTGGTCTAACCAAGGCGGAATAGAGCATGGGGAGCATGACTTCCCTGGATCTGGACACTAGACTCCTATTTGCTATTATCTAGAGTTTTCTGTATCCACAGTAAGTTCAGGAATGTATCCGCTGTTGATACAGGGTTCGTTCTGTAACCATCTTTTCTCCACTGGTCAAAGGCATGTTGCGTGTGAAAAAGACTCTGCCTTCTGACTGAAATAAGATCTTCATTTCTGTGTTGTCTCCTGAATGGGTCAGGCGGCCATGATGGCGGAGGAGCTGAAGAAAGAGCAGGACACCAGCGCACACCTGGAGAGGATGAAGAAGAACATGGAGCAGACCATCAAGGACCTCCAGATGCGTTTAGACGAGGCTGAGCAGCTGGCCCTGAAGGGAGGCAAGAAGCAGCTCCAGAAACTGGAGGCCCGAGTGCGGGAGCTGGAGAACGAACTGGAGTCGGAGCAGAAGCGCAACGCAGAGAATGTCAAAGGGATGCGCAAGTGCGAGAGGCGCATCAAGGAGCTCACCTATCAGGTGAGGTGCCCCAAAGAACCTGATTCTGTTGGGAATGAATGATGGCTCTGAACTCAGGCCTTTAGGTCCAGTTGACCATGGTCCAACCCTCATTTCAACTGACATTCTGGCCTCTTGTCTGCTGCTGTTATAGGAGGCTCAGGCCCATAGTCAGGATTTTGATGGGGGGGGCTGAGTTTGATTTCGGGGGGCTGAGTTTGATTTCGGGGGGCTGAGTTTGATTTCGGGGGGCTGAGTTTGATTCGGGGGGCTGAGTTTGATTCGGGGGGCTGAGTTTGATTCGGGGGGCTGAGTTTGATTCGGGGGGCTGAGTTTGATTCGGGGGGCTGAGTTTGATTCGGGGGGCTGAGTTTGATTCGGGGGGGCTGAGTTTGATTTGGGGGGCTGTGTTTGATTCGGGGGGCTGAGTTTGATTCGGGGGGCTGAGTTTGATTCGGGGGGCTGAGTTTGATTCGGGGGGCTGAGTTTGATTCGGGGGGGCTGAGTTTGATTTGGGGGGTGAGTTTGATTCGGGGGGCTGAGTTTGATCGGGGGGGCTGAGTTATTCGGGCTGAGTTTGGTTTGAGGGGCTGAGTTTGATTCAGGGGGGTGAGTTTGATTCGAGGGAGGGGTGAGTTTGATTCAGGGGGAGCTGAGTTTGATTCAGGGGGGCTGAGTTTGATTCGGGGGCTGAGTTTGATTCAGGGGGCTGAGTTTAATTCGGGGGGAGCTGAGTTTGATTTGGGGGGCTGAGTTTGATTCAGGGGGTGAGTTTGATTCGAGGGGGGGTGAGTTTGATTCAGGGGGAGCTGAGTTTAATTCGGGGGGCTGAGTTTGATTCGGGGGGGCTGAGTTTGATTCGAGGGGGGGCTGAGTTTGATTCGGGGGAGCTGAGTTTGATTCGGGATATATTGAGCATGGTGATCATATCATGATATGAATAAACATAACAGTTTAAATAATGTACCAGTAAGGCCTTCTTGCGGACCACGCTGAGAATTTCAGGCTACGGGCCTTGAGGAGGCTCACTAATTATACATAATGAGAAGACAGGAAAGCTTGGAGAAGATAATGATGCTGGGGAAAATGGAAGGGAAAGGAAGAGGGGTTGACCAAGGGCAAGATGGATGGATGTTATCCTTGAAGTGATTGGCTTGACCTTGAAGGAGCTGGGGGTGGCCATGGCCGACAGGGAGCTCTGGTGTGGGATGGTCCAGGAGGTCACGAAGAATCGGAAGTGACTGAACAAATAAACAAGAGGTATGAACAGCAAGATGGATGGATGGCATCCTTGAAGTGACTGGACTGACCTTGAAGGAGCTGGGGGTGGTGACGGCCAACAGGGAGCTCTGGCGTGGGCTGGTCCATGAGGTCACGAAGAGTCGGAGACGACTGAACGAATGAACAACAACAACATGAATAGCATAGAATGACTCTGGAGATGCCTATAGAAGTGATCTCCAGAACGTTTCTTTGGTCCACTTCCACTGGAGGTCCTGGATGCTAGGCTCTACCATAGGAATGGGCAAACTTTGCTCCTCCAGGTATTTTGGACTTCAACTCCCAGAACACCTACCGACTGTTAGGAATTGTGGGAGTTGAAGTCCAAAACACTGGAGGGGCAATTTTTGCCCATGCCTGTTCTACCAGGTAGATGTTGAGTTCTCTCTTTCCCCTTCTTTTATGATACAGACCGAAGAAGATCGGAAGAACCTTGTTCGCCTCCAAGATTTGGTGGATAAGCTCCAGTTGAAGGTGAAGGCATACAAGAGACAAGCAGAAGAAGCGGTGAGTAGTTATGACATCCTCTTCTTTATCACCTTTGAGGAATTCCCCTGGCTTGGCCCTTAGATAGGAAACCTGCAGAAGTATTCAACAGTAGTCACTTGCTCTATAGCTCTCAGCATTCCACCATTATTCCCACATGCATACAGTTGGCCTATTTGCAGATTTTATTTCTGTGGATTTGATTATTTGGGGATTTGTTTAATATAGTATTCCTAGGCCCTCTAGTCAACTTTCAACACATATAAACTATAGAGTTGAGAAGCTTACTTACTTAGGTGATCCCTCATTGTCCACGTATGATGGCCTTCCAAGAGTAGGGTCCGTAGGTGACTGTGGAGCCCTATTCTTGACTCGCATGTTCTTCCACGGTGAGGGCATGGTTTCCAAGTGGAAGGTGGACCTAGTCAGAGTTGACTTGATGTGCCTTCCTCATGGCACATTTCTCCCTTTCACCCTCCATTCATGCCTCTCCAAATTCTGCAGCACTGCTGGTCACAGCTGACCTCCAGTTAGAACGTTCAAGGGCCAGAGCTTCCCAGCTTGAGAAGCTATAGATTCTTAGAAAGAACACTTTTCTAGGCATTCTTTGGAATGATTCTGTTGGAATAGTGGTTTTTATATGCATTTTCCCCACTTCTGTATGTGTTCTATGCCCCAACTATGGTGAATGTGAGAGATGACAATACTTCAAACACTGAGATGCTAGCAAGAATGTCCAGGATGGTAGGCAAAACCCAAAAGCACATCCTGTTGAACTATCATTTTTTGCTTGTTCGATGCTTACCTACAATTTGTATATTCCTAATTACTAGCTGATGAATGCCCTTAGGCTTACTCAGGTCCTTACCTAGTATTCCACAAGGGAATTCCTATGAGAGATGCAATGAAACCATACCCAAATCACAACTCCTTGGCTCATAATATTGCCATAAAGGGAAATTAGGTATTTGCACTCATAGTAACGGTAAAAATTTCCCCTTGACGTTAAGTCTAGTCATGTCTGACTCTGAGGGGTGGTGCTTATCTCCATTTCTAAGCCGATGAGCCGGCGTTGTCCGTAGACATCTTCACAGTCATGTGGCCAGCATGACTGCATGGAGTCCTGTTACCTTCCCACTGGAGTGGTACTTATATTTGCATGTTTTCGAACAGCTACTCACATTTGCAAGTTTTTGAATAGTGAGGTTGTCAGAAGGTGGAGCTAACAGCGGTAGCTCACCCTGCTCCATGGATTTGAACTGCCAACCTTTTGGTCAGCAAGTTCAGCAGCTCAGTGGTTTAACCCACTGCGCCACCGGAGGCTCCCAAAGTGGGCTTGAAATTATAGCAGGAAAGGAGGTCCATTACTGAACTGCTTCCTGAAGGATGGGGATCAATTTCCAAATGACCCAACAGTTGTACAGCATGCCATAAAAGTGTGCGATAAGACAAAGTTAAGACTGACTCAATACAGTTGCAGTATAACCATTTTATGTAATGTTGGCCGTCCATCCAACATTTCCAATACTTTTATGCTCAAGCAGGAGAGGCACTGAAGTGGAAGCCCAAACTGGCACAGCTTCTTCTATCCACAGCTTGGGTTTGTTTGTGACGTATCACAGCTGCACATCTCCAAAGCCTGTGATCCAAGCCCAAAGCCCCTCTCTTGCAGCTTTAACACTTCCTTCCTTCCTTTCCTTTTTTCAGGAGGAACAAGCCAACAGCAACCTGGCCAAATTCCGCAAAGTCCAGCATGAGTTGGACGAAGCGGAAGAAAGAGCGGACATTGCTGAATCCCAAGTCAACAAACTGAGGGTCAAAAGCCGCGATATTGGAGCAAAGGTGAGAATCTACACTTTTAGCCCACACACTTCCTGTGATTTAAATTTCTTCTGATGTCTATGCGTTTCTCCACTGATTCCTTCTTTTTCTCTTTCTACTCTCTTACAGAAAGGTCTGAATGAGGAGTAACTTCTTTGAAGACCCAACGCCTGTCCCTGACGTAGATACCTCCCCAGCTCCATACCTAAAAGGCATTGGAGAAACCTTTTCCCACTTCCCACGCTCTGTATATCAGCACCGCACCTGAAAAGCAGAATAAAGATAGCTATCTAATCAGTGTGTGTTTGCGTCTCTGCAGATGAATTGAAACCTAGAGAGAAAGTGTTGGTTTCTTTCCGATTCAAGCCATGACACGAGATTAGAGCTTAGAAAAGTGTTGCACCTCAGCTAGGGTTCACCTTGCTCAAGCACTCACCAAGAAGGCAAACGTAGTAATAAACAGTTCATTGAAAAAGCACACAGAGTAAAAGAGTAAAAAACCCAAATAGGTAAGATAAAAGGACTCCCAAAAGCCAGAGATAAATCTCCAATGCAAAGGTTAAAACATGAACATAAATCCAAGGAGCAAGGTATAATCATGAGCTTGATTAATCAAAAAGACAAAGAATAAAACATCAACTTGAGTAATCCAAGAATCATAGAACAATACATGAGCTTGAGTTCATGGTAAAATCCCAAAGACTTAAAGCAAAACTTGACCAGGACATGACTTGAAGGGAGAACCTAGACCGGAGTTTCTTGCTCCTTCAGCTACGTTGCTTGATCTAAAAACAGAAAGCTATACTTTCCCTAATTAAGGACAACACATGCATGAAAACATTCCTTCAGTAGTCTCTCTTGGTCTCACTTTCCCAGAGCCAGGCTTGCACCTGGAATCCTTCCCCTGCAGAAGCAGCCTTGTTTCTCTATCTCACCCCCCCTTCCTCCCTTCTCTGCCTGTCAGCTTGCAAAACAGTTTTGTTTTCACACAGAGAATCGCCCACATCCCCCTCCGTTCTCCCAACCAAGGAATCACCCGGGGAAAGTGAAGACCTGGCTGTTCGAACAAGCATTTGATTAAACAGTGTAATTGAACATAGGAATACGGAATGATGGATGATGACATCTCCTCTGTGTATCTCCAGAAGCATCAGGCCTTGCAGACCCTGCACCCCAAACCTCTCATCCTCATCCTCAGCTGGCTGAGCTACAACAAAAATGCTCATTTTCATGGTAAAATCCCAAAGACTTAAAGCAAAACTTGACCAGGGCATGACTTGAAGTGAGAACCTAGGCTGGAGTTTCTTGCTCCTTCAGCTACGTTGCTTGATCTAAAAACCGAAAGCTATACTTTCCCTAATTAAGGACAGCAATGCATGAAAGCATTCCTTCGGTAATCTCTCTCAGTCTCACTTTTCCAGAGCCAGGCTTGCACCTGGAATCCTTCCCCTGCAGATGCAGCTTTGATTCTCTATCTAGCCTCCCTTCCTCCCTTGTCTGCCTGTCAGCTTGCAAAACAGTTTCGTTTTCACACATAGAATCACCCACATTCCCCTCAGTTCTCCCAACCAGGGAATCACCATCCTGTTCTAAGACATCTCCTCTGTCTGAGCAGGCCTTGCAGGCCCTGCACCCCCAAACCCCTCATCCTCATCCTCAGCTGGCTGAGCTACAACAAAAAGGCTCCTTTTCATGGAAAAATCCCAAAGACTTAAAGCAAAACTTGACCAGGACATGACTTGAAGTGAGAACCTAGGCTGGAGTTTCTTGCTCTTTCGGCTACGTTGCTTGATCTAAAAACTGAAAGCTATACTTCCCCTAATTAAGGACAGCAATGCACAAAAGCATTCCTTCTGTAGTCTCTCTTGGTCTTAGTTTCCCAAGACAGGCTTGCACCTGGAATCCTTCCCCCGCAAAAGCAGCCTTGATTCTCTATCTCACCTCCCTTCCTCCCTTCTCTGCCTGTCAGCTTGCAAAACAGTTTTGTTTTCACACAGAGAATCACCCACATTCCCCTCCGTTCTCCCAACCGGGGAATCACCATCCTGTTCTAACATCTCCTCTGAGAATCTCCAGAAGCATCAGGCCTTGCAGGCCCTGCACCTCCAAACCCCTAAACATCATCCTCAGGTGGCTGAACTACACCAAACCCCTCATCCTCATCCTCGGCTGGCTGAGCTACAACAAAAAGGCTCTTTTTTGGACTGCAGTTTCCAGAATCTCCCAACCAATACGGTCATCTATTGCAGGCATGGGCAAACTTGGTCCCTCCAGGTGTTTTGGACTTCAACTCCCACAATTCCTAACAGCCTACCGGCTGAGTGAATCAAGACTCTGTGATTCACTCCTGTTTTCCCAAATCTGCCTTCTTCTATCCTCATTAAAAAAGGCAGGTGTTAACTCCTCTGGAGAGTTATCACCCCTTGACTCTGAAACATCCTCATCAAGATGTTTAGTTTCACTTTCCCAGCCACTGCCCTCAGAATCAACAGTTTCCAAACCATCAGGGAAAAATACATGTTCAGTAGCATCAGGAAATACAATCATAGAATCAGGTTCAGGTTCACACGGAGGCTGAGGGTTAGGCTCACACGGAAGCTGAGGGTCAGGTTCACACGGAGGCTGAACCCCAACAATACCTGATCTATAGCCTCAAAGTTAGTGTTTCCATAGTTTGACCATACTAATGTTTGGCCTTGGGCTTCTTTACTGGTACAAGATAAGCTTGTATGTGGATCAGTTTTAGCTATTTTCCTTCAGCCAATCAGACTTTTTTGGCTTCGTCGGATGGCCATAACGTCAAGGGCCCAGCCATCATGGTTTCCCATACGTAACAGGACAACATGGCAGCCAATCACAGCATTTCGGGAGCACATGATTCGCGGAGAGGCTGCCGCATGCTCCTCCTCGCATGGGGTTTCCCTGTGAACCCTGCCCGTTGGGCCAATTGGAGTAGAAGAATGCCATGACGTGTCTTATACAAGCTGTGTCTGATTCCTTAATCACATTGCTGAAACCCAGGTTCTCTTGAAGGGAAAAGAAAGGGTCCCAGGAACCGAAAGGGGAACCTTGTAAGTTTCCATTGCCACCAATGGACCAGATCTAGTAACCCACCCATTTTCAGGAGGTGAGGGAATATGGATACGGAGGTCTACTGGAAACCGGCCAGCAGAAACTGATCGAGGTTCAGCCGAAATATCTAGTACAAGGGCTTATACTAGCATGAAAAGACAGGTCTCTGCCCCACAGGATCTGTCAGTTAGCATTCCATTAACAATTTGCTTCCTGGCTCTATGAAAGAACATTTCCACCCTCATCTGAGCAATAAATTAAGACAAAAAAAAAAGGTGTTCATTTTGTACTAAAAGTTGCAGAGTTGGCATTTAGGGATCTTACTTCTGCTGGAAATACAGTCCCTTAGTGAATGAATGCTGCCACCTTGTGTCTTTCAGAAGATAAATCTCTCTATGTGTGCAAAAAAGGAAGGACCCCTAAAACTAAGAAAACAAGAATGATTATTGCTCATTTTCATAATACACAATCATAACACTGTCATACAACAGCATCCTGGGATTTGGGTTGCTGTGAGTTTTCCGGGCTGTATGGCCATGTTCCAGGAGCATTCCCTCCTGACATTTCGGCAACATCTATGGCAGGCATCTTCAGAGGTTGTGAGGTCTCACAAAGAGCCAAATCCTTGTTTCATATCGACTATCTGGGGTTTCAGGTAGAAGCCAAAACAATACTTGCTATCTGATTATTTGAAGTGGAAATACCATAATCCACCCACAGACAATTTACAAAACTTTAAAGTTGTCAATGGACACATACACCAGAGCAGGAACACTTCTGACCGTAAACACCACCCCGGCTTGGTAAAATCAGCAAGCAGTTTATTGTAGAATATATTTAGGCAAAGCAGTAAAAAATAGCAAAACAGTAAAGGTCCAAAATCCAAGACAGTCCATAGCACCGGGATTGTGGTGCAGCTGGCTGTCAGCTGCATTAAGATCACTCTGACCAAAAGGTCATGAGTTCGAAGCCAGCCCGGGTTGGAGTGGGCTTCCAACCAATTGTTGAGCTTGTTGTCGACCTTTGCAACCCGAGACAGTTGCATCTGTCAAGTAGGAAAATAAGGTACCACCTTAAAGTATGGGGAGGCTAAATTAACTAATTTATGAGGCCATAAAAAAAAGACTCCAACAAAAGCATGCGGGGAATACAGAAGTACTTCATCAGTGTCGCAGATGGACGATGAAAGCGACAGCTCCCCTGGCAGCCAGAAAAAGTTAAATAGCCTCTGTCTATGTCGTATGTCAAAATTGGCATTGAATGTTTGCCATATATGTGTACACTGTAATCCGCCCTGAGTCCCCTGCGGGGTGAGAAGGGCAGAACATAAAAGCTGTAAATAAATAAATAAATAAATAAATAAAATAAGCTTCAAAGGAAAGCAAGATCTGTAAGTACTCAGAAATCCATGAAACAATCCCACAGGCAAAACTTGAGCTTGACAAAAACTTGGTACATGGAACTCAGAGCACTTGAAAACAAGACCGTGATAAAATAACAACGTTGATTCGACTGAGGCAACTGTCTCCCATGAATCATTATAAACCTTTTCCAGAATCCAAAACTGAAAGAAAGGCATTTTTCCTGACCTTCCCACCTTCCCACCAGAAAATGGTTTGTTGTCTCTCTTTTGTTGTAGCTGGACTGATCGTTTCAGTCTTTAAAAACTCTGCCTGTTTACTAAAACTTTGCTTTCTGTCCAAGGTTTCACTCATTAACTCCTGTACCTGGCAAATCAATCTCTGCATTATTTTCAGACAGTTGCTCTGAGAAAAGCGGTGAGAGGCCTCTCTCAGGAATGTGGCCTTGTGAATCTTCCTGAAACAATTCAGGCCTCTCTTCTGATCTTAGCTCAGGCCCAAGCAACTCCTCATCCCCAATCCCACCAGGAACATTCCCATCATGAACATCAACATGAACGTCATTCCCATCATGAGCATCAGCATGAACATCAGACACAATCACAGACTGAACAGGCTGACATACAACAGATACTGATATTG